TTTGGTTTTTCGAGACAGGGTTTCTCTGTGTAGCCCTGGCTGTCCTGGAACTCACTCTGTAGACCAGGCTAGCCTCGAACTCTCGAACTCAGAAATCCGCCTGCCTCTGCCTCCCAAGTGCTGGGATTAAAGGCATGTGCCACCACCGCCCGGCGAATACTAGCTTTCAACTAACTGAAAACAGCTCTTTTCTGAGGGATTCTCAGAGGGAAAGGCGCATCCATCCCTTCCTCCTTCCCTTAGTCTGAGGCTGTCCAGCAACTGAGAGAATTAGTGACAAACTGAAAGGCTTCCCCAATTTCTGAGCTCCAGATGAGAATCACAGGCAGAAATTCCACTATATGAACTTTTCATAGATCAAATCAAATAAAAAGAATGAATATTGTTTCCATCAAGAGCCTGTTACAGTTATGAAACCACACACCTGCAGAGATAATCTGTGTGGTGATGGCTCCTCAGATGTGGGTGCTTTGATAGTTAATGAGCACTAATCTGAAGACAAGCAAAACAATCTGGAAAAGCTGCAGGTGTGCCTTTGCTTTCAAGTGTAGCTAACAGGAGATAAGGATATCAACTCTACGCTAGCTATTTCATTTACAAATATGAGAGTCTCTTCAGCTCAGCGTCCTCAGCAGCAAGCCAGCTGGGGCTGGGGAGGAGCAGCAGTGACACCCTCTCCCTAGGACATTAAAGATACCCTGCTGCCTCACCTACACTGCAGATTATTTTTGAAAGAGAAACTGATTTGGCCTCCCATCCTACACAGCATGCAGCTGTGTTCACTAGACAGCCCTGGGATTAGGAATCAGGGACAGGCTTACAGATGGTACCTGTAAGTGACAGGAAGGAGACAGTTCGCAGATTTAGGGGGAAGGGACAACCACAGAGGGCCACAACTTAAAACCTCTTCCTCCAGCAAAGGACAGCTGTGGCTTCTGTCATTTCCCTCTTCAGACACCAAGCACCCCCTCAGCCCTTGGCTTGCCCTAATACCAACAACACTACTAGCTTTTGCTCTCTGAGTCCTACCCAAGGACATGCAGAAACCAGTATGTGTCCATTACAACCCTCACCTGAGCCTTGATGCTACTCAGGAGCTCCTCAACTTAGCTCCCAACCTCCTCCCAGTTCTTAAAGACCAAGCTCCCACCTCACCCAACCCATTTGTCAAAGCCAAAACAGTTTTGTGGAAAAGAAAGAGAGACACGGGGGGGGGGGGAGACAGAAAAAAAAAAAGAACTGAATGAACTTCTTCATACTAGGGTAAGCAGTTTTTCCCTTTTCAGAAGTCTACAGAACTTTGGATTTTAGGATCATGTGAGAATGAGACTTTCCATAGCCAAATAAAAAAGCAGTCACAGCCACATGACAGGACTCACACTTAGGCTGGGCCACCACCAACTGTACTCACCACCGTGAGTTCTTTGCCAGCTGCTTTCCGGAAGGCTTTAGTCCACCTGACCTTGCGTGGGTTTCTCTTCTTCTTAAAGTTTTTATGACACTTGGATTTGCAGAATCGGAACACCTACAGGATACTCAAGTTAAAATACTGAAGAGCTGAAGAGTCAACAATAAAAATGTTTCTATCACAGGATACAACCAACCAAGAAAAAAAAAAAAAGTAGAAAGGGCATTCACAGAGGGCTCCTACGGACCACAGGCACTCAGTGTTTGCTAAGTGTCATACACCATCCATAGCAGGCTAAGAACCCTGAAACAAGCCATCACTAATCACTTTTGAGAATAATACCTTACACTGGCCTTAAGTGAAGGAGCATTCTAAGAAAAACTCCTTAAAGACCTTCTCCATTTGTTTACTTCTCAAAACTACTTGCCTATATCCCTAGTGCAGGTGAGTTTTGAGCCACAATGAAATCCTGTTTGACAGAAATCCTTCTGTCATTCTGGCTGAAAGCAAATTTTTCAAAAATAAGACTGCTAATAGGTCATTCTTCCTTCTCATTTCCGGTGTCTATTTTATCCTACAGTGTAGTCCAGGATGTCCTGCAACTTGAAATCCTCCTGCTTTGGCCTTCTACTTACTGGGATTACAGACGTTTGCTTACATGCTGAGTGCTGGATGTGTTTTTAAAGATCATATTCACAGGTCTGAGTCTTTACTATTTTTATTCCCCAAAGCAGCAGCAACTTTTAACTTACTAACACTTCGGTGTGTTCTTGAAATGAACACTAAGGCTTTTACAAATCCAAACTGTATTACTTTGTTACCTATATTGCCTTTAAAAAATAATGCAATCTCTGCGTCACTAGAAAAAACATAAAAAGTAAACCTTTGAGGTTAATGGGTGCTAGCAAAGAAAGCTGAGTATCGTAACGAAAATGTGTGACCCAGTCAAAAACCTAAACTAAGAAGCCTGTGCACGCGGCACAAATCAGAATGCTTTTGCTTACATACTTCATTCCATGAGAACCTGCAAGAAGTGGGATAGTGAAGGCTGCCGACGAAACCAGTTCCCCAAAGAACCTCCACGCTGTCCCTCTCCTAGCTCACCTCCTATTAGGCCCAGGCACCACGTCCATTATCGTCTAGACTCCCACCTCCCACTGGTCCCTGTTACGTCAGCATGAAGCCTCCTTAAGCATGAATTCGACCGACTTCCTGAACCTGCGGCAGCCCAGGGGGCCTGAGAATGGAATGTGCGTCCGAGAGCAACGAGGAGACCTCGCCGGCAGTGAACCAAGGCCGGGTCCAGTCCAGGCCGCTCTACGGCGCTCAGAACCCGGCGCGAACAGCGCGCGCTCCAGTCCCCCAGCCGTCTCCGGCGTGCAGTCCACGGCCGCCTCACCTTGCAGTCGTTGCGGACGAACATCATGCCGTGGCCGGGATAGATCGGCCCGGAGCAGAAATAACACTTCTCGATCCTCATGTTGACCCCGCGTGGGACCCACCTTCCAGACGCGGAACTTGAGAGGAAGTACGTCACTTCTTAGCCGCCGGAAGCAAGTCACTGACCCGACCCGGAAATGGTATCTAGAATGCGAGTTGAGCGTAAAGGCACCGCCCAACCCACGTATGCGCAGCCGCAGCAGCAAGGCCCGGCGCAGGCACAGAGGCTATAGACTGCCTCTGGGGGTTTGGATATGTGGTCCTGTGAGCTCTTGTGTGCGGATGCTCCGCAATTTTTCCATGGGCACTCATTTCATAGCGTTACTGCGGTATTTGTGGTTTAGCACGAATACGCTCCCCACACCGGATTGTGGCCAAAGTCTGCTTTACCCCAGGCTTGCCTTACCCAAAGGACTTGGCTGGAGTACACAACTAGAACCTTCCACCCTGGTCTTAGGAGAGAAACCTACTAAAAGTCAGGACAGCTTGGACGAGTTGGTTCTCTCCTCTCACCATGTGGGTCCCAGGGATTGACCACAGGTCACTTATCCTGATTTTGTATTATGAAAGAGGGTTTCGTTTTCTGTAATCTGGAACTGGCTGTGTAAACCAAACTGACCTAGAACTAATAAGAGAGCTCCCTGCCTCTGCCTCCCTAGTACTGGGATTAAAGGGTCTACTACCGGGTGTTTGAGAAAATGGCCCTGGGGTTAAGAGCACAGGCTGTTCTTTCAGAGGACCCAGGTTCACAACCATCTGTAACTCCAGTTCCAGGGGATTTGATGCCCTTTTCTGGGCTCTGCAGGCACCAGGCACACACACATAGTACCCTGACATAAAGGAAAATAGGTATGCAAAGTTCCTACACATATAAAATTATAAAGAGGAGAAGGACGTTGGAGTAATGAGTACTGGCTGCTCTTCTAAAGGACCTGGGTCCAAATGACATGTAGGCAAAACACCAATGCATGTGAAAATAAAAATAATATTTTTTAAAAGGGAGGGGGTGTCTACCATGCCTTTTTATTTTTAATATCGTATTCATTTATGTGTTTTACTTGTTTAGTATGGGCACAGTGTGTGTGCTGTGCTGGCCAAGGTTAGAAGATGGCATAGGATCCCCTGGAACTGGAGTTATAGATAGGTATGAGTCTCCATGTGGATCCAGGAATTGAAGTCCTCTGGAAGAGCAGCCAGTGCTCTTAGCCTCTGAGTCATCTCTCCTGCAACTCATCCTGTTTTTGCGGTCTCCATCTCAAGTTTTGAGGCCAGGGTTCCCTGGAAATCATGATGCTTCTGCTTTTGTGCTGATATCGTAGAGATATGCAACCATACTGAGTCGCTATTTACCTACTGATTACATACTGGAATATTTAAAATATGTTCTGAGAGGCCACACCTACTCCATCTTGGGACCAGCCTCCATCTTAAAAGAAAAGGAAAAAAAAAAAAACTGAGAACTTAGCCCACAGCTGAACCAGGCTGCTCCCAAGTACCAGGAAGGACCCACAGTTTGTCCTCAGCCAGAGTTACTCCCTAGCTACTTCCTAACAACAGAGATTAATCAGAGATTAGTCTGATTGTTTCAGATGTACTTTCAGACCATTGGTGATTGTATACAATCGTGTTTCAGAGCACCCACCTGTCACCTGTCGGTGTACAATAGGTATTCAATTAGATACTTGCCAGGCTAAACTCCCTTCGGTTGCTCATACTACTCCTGGGTGGTACACATAGCCTCAGCATTCAGGAGGCAGAGGCAGGCAGATCTTTGAGAGGCCCAAGACAGCCAAGGCTACATAGAAAAATCCTGTCTTGAGGTTCTATCAAAGGAAAAGGGAGAAGAGAGTTTTGTGGCTACCAGAAAAATGAAAATGACATATACCCTGTATTGTGTATCTCACAATGCTAGACAAAGCTGCTCTCCTGTCTGACTGGCCTGTGTATCATCTTGATGAAACATTACCAGTTTTCCTGTGTGCTGGGATCAAACCCAAGGTCTTGCACATTCTAGGCAAGTACTCTACCACTAACTACACCCTCAAAACCCAAAGCTATACTCGTTTACTCCTGAGTTGACCTCACTGAACAGAATACCCAAAATACCAGTGCCTGGTGATTCATACTAGACCACCTCTCTTTTGGAAGCCATTCATAGATACACCTTTCCCTCAATTTTATATTAATTTTGTATACACATGAACGTGCAAGTGTGGAAATTGGCTCTCTCCTTCCCCTCTGTGGGTTCCAGAGATTGAACTCAGGCCCTCAGCCTGGGTAGCAGGCACCCTTACCTACTGAGTCATCTCTCTGGCCATTCAAGTAATTTCCTATGTATTTTGATAAGGCGATTCATCTATAAAGATAGTAATAATGATGACCAATAAACCTAGTTTAACAGTGAGAATAAATGTACCTTCTCAGATATACACATTTAACAAAGGTGAGTAATCAAAAAAGGATAGAGCTTAAAAGCCAATGGAAAAGCTATACACATGGACAAACCGAATTGGCAACACTGATTCTAAATAAGTGAAAGTAGCTGCCTAATGCTGGAGTTGATGATCAATTCTTACATAAATCATTTTTAGGACTGTTTGGTATCATAATAAATTTTAAAGTGCTCATTCTTCAACACAATTCCACACAAAAGTTGTGCAGAAACACTATGAGGAAAAGCACCAATAAAATCGGTAAGTAATTTCTGGCCTTGAGAATGTGAGGATCACCAACGATCTTGACACAGTGGAAAACTTCAAAGAGGCTGCTGAGCTCAACTACGAATGGTGCCAAATGCATTGCTTTGCCTCTTTCTGATGCTGGAGATGAACCCAGAGCCCTGCACTTGCCAGACAGGTGTTCTACTATCACCAAGGGACATCTCCAGCCCGTGATTCCTTTGGAAAGATTTATACATTTTGAATGTGTGTATATATCTGTGTGTGGACTTGTGCATACGTGAGTACGATTCCTGTGGAGAACAGAAGAGGGCTTTGGGTTCCTTGGAGCTGGAGATACAGACCATTGTGAGTCACCCAAATGTGTGTGCTGGCCAGTGAACTCTGCAGCAACAGTCCACACTGAGCCACCTTTCCAGTTCCTGTTTAAGTTTAAAAATTTACACATTTCTTATATATATATAACATATAAGGAATAAGGAATATCACATTTAAAGTTTTTTGGGGGTGTCTTTTTTAATTATTATTTTAGTTTTTCGAGATAAGGTTTCTCTGTGTAGCCATGGCTGTCCTGGAACTCACTCTGTAAACCAGACTGGCCTTGAACTCTAAAGAGATCTGCATGCCTCTGCCTCCTGAGTGCTAAGATTAAAGGCATATGACACCCACCACCACCCAGTTTAACATTTTTTTAAAGTCAGATGTAGTGGACAGAGTGCTCAGGCCTGTGATCCCATTATTCTGAGAGAGTGGGGATGTTAGTGAGGCAGGAAGATTTTATGCTTTAGTCCAGTCTGAACATCTTAGGGGCTTTATGTCACAAAGTTTTAGGGCTGGAGATATAACTCAGTTATATACTGAAGTGTTGTCAAGGTTGTACAAAACCTTAAATTTAATTCCCAGCACTGCATAACCCAGAAATAGTAGCACACACACCTGTATCCCAGCACTTGGAAGTGGAGGCAGAAGGATCAGAAATTCAATAATATTCTTGGCTATATAGTAAACCTCAGGTCAGCCTGAGCTATAAGACCATGTTTCAAAAAAAACTGTAAATATCTTAATTATAGAGTACCTACCTGCTCCTCTAGTGCTTTTTCCAACCAAGGATGTTTCACACACACACATACACAGACACACATCTTACCATATTCTTTGAAAGTCGTTTTAGGCCTATTCTTTTTTTTTTTTTAAGTAAGATACTCTGCCCAGTTTCCCTCTTGAACTAGTTTTTTTTTCTTTTTTTTCTTTCTTTTTTTAGATTTTATTTATTTTATATATATGATGAGTGCACTTTAGCCATCTTCAGGTACACCAGAAGAGGGCATCAGATCTCATTACATATGGTTGTGAGTCACCATGTGGTTGGCCATTCAAATCAAAGTCCATGTTATGTGCAGTGTCATCATGAAACCCATTTATACCATATATGCAAGATATAGTTGTTATGGTTTTAAATCTTTAGAATTGGGCAGTGTGATGCCAAAATTAACCTGTAAGCCCCACCCGGCCAGGAACCAGGTCATTCCCTGGAATGCTGGGAACTCTTGGGAGTTCTTGGGAGATAAGCTTTATTGAAAGTAACAGGGCCTATAAGTTTGTCCTTACAAGTCCCTGAAATACATGGCTAGAGGCCATTCCAACTGGGAAATTCCTGGGGAATGTTCCTGACCAAAGTCCATTTTTTTCTTGGTCAGTATTGAATATTTAATAAATACTTGCTTTAAATTTGGCCCAAAATGGTAGAATTGGTTTTTCTGGTGAATCTCGGGATTAACATAGTTTTTTTTCTGGTGAATGGCAGGACTAACACTAGATATAGTGATACACTCCTATAGTCCCATCATTTATGAGGTTTGTAGGTTAGCTGGGGGGTGGTGGGTGGCCTTTAATCCCAGCACTAGGGAGGCAGAGGCAAGCAGATCTGAGTTCTAGGCCAGCAGGAACCATGTAGTGAGCTATAATAAGCCGCCCAGGGCTATACAGTGTGACCCTGCCACAAAAGAACAGAACATGCCCAAGTAAAGGTTCCTTAAACTTGGTATCCCACCCTCAAAATCATTTCTATATCCAGCTAGGGCTGAGTAAGGCAGTGGGTCTTAAACCTCAGCCTGCCTAAGACTCCCTTCATCTTTCTTTCTGGTTTTTGTTGCCCTAGGAATTGGGAAGAACAAAGTAGAGCTGTTTTGTTCCCCTCCCCCCTCCCCCATTGTGTTATATGTTTGCAAATACAATTCAAAGTATTCTAATAAAAAATTGCATTCCTTCGGAGTGTGTTTGAATAGTGGGATGGGAACAGTGTGCGTCTCCAGGAGCCATGTGCTGTCGGACACCCTCACTATCTTCCCTGAGGAGGGTGGAATGTCTTGGATAGTTGGTCCCCATCCTGGCAACCCGAGATCAGAT